CTACTAGTAATCTGTCTATTAACACTAATACCTAGTAATAAGTAAAACAAAACCTCTAGTACGGTTTCATACGTCGCGCTGGGAATCTACAGAAATGAGAGCAGGGTAAAACCAGCAACAATTCAGATTTTTGCTTGATGTAACGTGATTCTATTCTGACTACTTCACACCATGAATTATCACATAACTTATAATGAATAAAATTAACAATTCTACAGTTTACTAGATTACTTAAATAGAACTTAGTGCGTCGAACTTTAAAAAAACTGCCAGAACTGGATTCAGAATAACACTTAAGGAAATGCATCAAAATTTTCTTCAAAGTAATCTCCCACACAGTACTAACGTTTCAACTTAATACAAACGAAATTTATCGTTATATCATTACCTTTCTACATGCATTTGTTTCCACCCGTTAGTCCTTACTCAACTGACATCCGCTTCTATGTTTGATGCAGGTAAGGCAACATCTTGTATCGAAAAAACTTTGCAACGGACTACTTGTTTAAAAACTAGGATATAAAGTTTGCCGAAGGATTTACATTGGCATGACAAAAAAAGCAAATGTTTTGAAACCCGTCTATAACAACATATGGCAACTTTCCAAACTTGATTTAAAGTTCATCGTCCATCATCGTCGTGTGAAGCACGCCACAGACGATCTACACGTATTAACAGCAATGTGAATATCTTAGATCGTAGTAGCACTGCTGACGGTCTGAAGATACGCGAATTGACCTTCATAAAAGCATTTCGTGCAGTATGCGTGTGAAACTCGAATTAAGCTTCAAATATTCGCTCACCTTCTTGGAATCTAATCGTAAATAATTTAATTTCTGTCGTTGTTTAATTTCTGTTGTTTTTATTCTTTTCCATTTATCTCCACCATTTCTCAACCGCTTCTGCGTTGAATTTCCTTCTTAGTTTTCCCTTGTTTATGTTTTACTTATCTGTCACTATTTTAACTATTGATCTACTGATGACTACGATATCTCGTCTGTAGAATATTAATTTATGCTGAAGGAGAATCACCGCAGTGGATTCCGGAAGCTTCACTTAATACACACACTTGTCTCAGGTTTTCAACCGTCTCTATTGTTATCTGCTATCATTAAGAGCATGTGTATGTACGCTGCACCTATGTGTATGTACCAATGCAACTACGTTTTTCTGAACTTATATTGTTCGTAAATCTCGAATTAATCAGGTTTAAAAATAATAGCTGAACCGTGCATATCAGACTAAATGTGCTTTACATCATGCACTGTGATAAGATTAAGTGCAATATGTCTAAGAAATGACCATATCGTCCTCTCAATCGCAATCGCATTAGCTGATGCGATCATCGTGTCTAATCTTGGACACAAAAGCTGGTTCAAGAACTATACTGTAACATAATCCTTCTGGTCGTAGGTAGCAGCCGACTGAATGGTCATCCTACCTACCAGTAGATCAGTTATCGATTTATTCCAGCGAAAACAGCATGTGGTACAAAGTTTTAAAAGTGCCTCATGAAATCTTAGCTGAGATTTCATTACTATATTTTCACAGGAAGCAAGTTAGCAAATTTTGAACTTAGCCAAAAGTATATTTTGAAAATTTCTTGAAAACATGGTTAAATTGTTTTTGTAAACCATTTGTGAGTTACTTTCTCTGAAGAGAAACCGAGTGCGATGCTAAA